AAAAAAAAAAAATAAAAAAAAAAAAAAAAAAAAGTATGAACACGCCAGGGGTCTGACTCCCAATTTCACTGGTCTCAGCGAGCGACTACGTTTTTTTTTCGACATTACGTCGTAGCAGCTCAAGCCAAGGCCTCCTCTACCCATGGGTAGGTCCTCGGGTAGGTCAGAGCTAGTGTGCACACAACTCTGACGACTGAAAAACTAATTCGGCTATATATACTAACCAAGTACTTTTTTCGCCACTCACGGGAACGGCACCGGAGCCACGCGGTTGGAGACGGAATTACAATAGCAGTGTTGTCTATCCATTGTCGATAACCAATTAATAATAGTATGGTAGGTGACCGGTAACCGCTAATATAACGCTGTAGTAAACCTTTATGTGGCAAAACGTACGACATATGTATAAACTTACCAACGAGGCCAAACGTCGATGGCCAATCAAATCGTGTTTCAAAATAGTGATGTATCACTTTTTCAGGTGTTTCGAGAATATTTTTCCGGTGATTGAAAGGCAAGAGGGAGTCTCAAATATGTAGTATACTAGTAAAAAATAGTGTTATATAAAATTCCTTCCTTAACTATTGAAATTTCAGCGGGTATACGACTAAAAAATAAAAATTTGGGAAGTAACGGACAATGTAAACGTACATCCAAAATTCTTATAATGATTTAAAAAAAAAAGAGAAAATAAAAATAAAAACACTGCAGTCGCTGTGAAAAAAAAAAATGTAAATTGTTATAAATTCCACAGTAATACACGTGTACGTATATTGATCGTGTCCCGTGCGTGCAGCGAAAACCGTACAGGCATTATTTGTTTTTCCAAACTGATCGACAAGAGAGAGAGAGAGAGAGACTAAATTAATTTTACTATAATAACAAATCAACATTACGGAATGCAATCGTCGAGCCGCGTCGTGGATGGCGAGGATGTGCGTGATCTCGAAGCGCTCGAGTTGCGCCGAGTCCTTGCTGTCTCGGTAATTGCCCACGTACAAGCCTGGTAGAACCTATTATAGAGAACGTATATTTTTTTTTTTCATTATTACAGTCCCTCGGTTGATGTATCTAATAACTTACTATTTACAGTTATACTTTGACTTATCGTTGGTTATTCGCCAAAATGATTTTAATTTGGAAGATCCCCCCGGAAGATGTAAAAAAAAAAAAAAAAAAAAAAATGTACAGATCGCATGTTTATAGGGTTCATCATAAGTACCTGTCCTACGAGTGGATCAACGAGGGTGGCGTTGATGGGAGTGAGTGGCTGTAGCCTGTGCTACGTCATCGGTTGGGGCGTGCCGGGCCTCTGGGGCACACCGGGTTGTTGGGGCTGTTGCCGCCTGAACCAGTGCTGGGGCGAAACGGGCGGGGTGTCCCTGGGGGTGGCGGGTGCCGAGCTTGCGGCCAAGTGGGCGCTCGTCGAGTAGCGGCCGGCGGCTGGTCTGCCCCCGGGCCCGGCGACCAGCTGCTGGCCACTACTGACGGGCGCCGAGCGGCCGATCGCCGACAGGCTCAACGTGCTACCGCCGCCGCTTGTGCTGCTACACGCTACCGCTGCCGACAGATCCACCCGGGACATTGCCCTCGAGGGCGGCGCCGAGCTCGTGTAGTAATGCAACCCCGCTGGACCGCTCCTGTACAACACAACTCATCGTGTCGTCGATCGGTACACAACTACTCTCCTAATTTTAAATAGTTCATGCACGCAGACGCACGATTATATTCATGTGTTTTTTTTTTTTTTTTAGGTGCGACTGATTTTCATTTTTTTTACGGGAGCAAAAAGCGTAAATGCATAGTTGAATCGTCTTATTTGGTAAGGGAGAAAATATGAGTGGGATCCAAGTATACGTGTATATGCGTAATCAAGTTTTCGGACTAATTTTTATTTTTACGATTTGCAATCGGAAAAACAAAATACTTGCAACCGAGCGACTGTGGACAAAATGTTTTCCTTGATTGATTTAAGGAATTGTAAAAATTTGATTTTAATCACAATATCCTCACTTCTCTAAAAATAAAAGTCATCAATCGGTCGTACTTGGGGATATTTGAACGCGTGATTTAGCGAGATTGGTTTTTTTTNGAACGTGTTTTTTTTTTTAATATGTATACTCTATTGATATTATCCATGTGGTTTTAGCATATGAAAAGTCAAGTGGTTAATCACATTAAAGCGATGTTTTTTATGTTGTAAAACCACATGGTTTATTTGAATGGAGTCATTAAATCAGGTGGTTTTTTCAACAGTGAAAAAGCTTTTGAACTCGTGTGTTTTCAAACGATTGTTCACGAAAAAAATTGACACATAGCGTATTCGTTATTCCCATAAAAACTTTTCGTTCTCTTTCCGCGCTTTTAAGAGTTAAAATTTTTAATTTTTTTTACATATATTTCATCTTTGACATTTACACTCCAGGTATATGTAATTTTCTTTTCCTTTGCCTTACATTCTAATTTTTCAACTAAATTTATTACTCACCTACTGTTGAATACTCGCGTGATTCGAGACGTCTTATGTTCCATTTTCCTTACTAATTAACAACAAAAACGTTAAATATTTGCGCGCCTACCATAATAATAATAACATCTGCTCTCCATATGTATATAACCTGCCTGGCAATCGACACAGTGTTAATTAATTGGTGTACTCCTTCAAGACTTTCAATATGAAATAGTATTTGAAGTTTCAGGCTTTCCCCGTAAGATTTTCAAAAAGCTCGGCGTATATATATATTATTTATTTATTTCATTGACCATTTTAATTGCATATTTTCGCAAAATCTGTTTCTCTTAAAATTTATTTTTTTCAACCCACTTTTCTCTTTGTCCTTTTTTTTTTTCTTTTTAACGAATCATCAGCAAGCTTTATTCAAATGGTCGCTAAAAATATAGAGTAGACGTTACAAGCATATTATAATGTACAATGAATCGCAATACATGTATAGTGTACTTTATTGCTTCTCCGCCTATCACAAAGTTTTTTAACAACCATCTTCTCATATGTAATTATGTTGCGGCTAATGATTTGTATATTTATTATTCGTTATCGTCCTCAAGAAAGCTTACCTACTTTATTTTCCCGATAACGCGATACATCCGACGTGTAACTCTATAAAAAAAAAAAAACCACATGGTTTTAGCTCGTGGTAACCCACGTAGATTCATTTTAAAATAACCGCATGGTTTTTTTTAACCATATGGTATTTAAAAAAACCACGTGGTTTATCTCACGGTTTTATTTTTCGATAGAGAAGTATGCAAAAAGTGTCTCAGTGATCATCTAATTCAAGCAGCCAACCACAGTTTACATATTATTACATGTAGACGCTGCGCACTCATTGTCTGCTGTACCTATTGTTTATACCTACGTACCGATTCTAAAGTATCAAAAATACCCGCGCGCGTAGAATAAATTTTTTTTTTACATTTTACGTGACACATGAATTTTAAAATATATTCATTTATACGCTATATCTATGTGTGTATAGTCAACTGGGTGTGTTTTGCCGAATTAAAAAGTACGCGCGTGTTTGTAAATACACATAATATGTTAGCTAAGGCAAATATTACTCTCTACTGCTATACGTACAATATTATATTATGTGTATGTATGACCTTTGCTATTAATTTACGTAGGGGTGAAAAAAAAAACAACGCCATTACGTCCGAATCGCGAGCCTTTGTTTGATTTTTTTTAAATAGATTATCCCTACTTTTTGGTCCGAAGCTTGTCTTTTCTTGTTTTGTATGTATAACTATGTTTCGTCAAAATAATCTGTAAAATTTATTCACGAAAACTCGCTTTCTTCAATGATTAAGATATATTAAAACAAAGAGACTCGAAAATATTTACTTTCACAGTTTTTCGAGCTATACATGGCATTAAAAGACGCTTTTTGGTGTATCACGCGTCGACGGATTGTATGAGAAATCGGCAAGAAACAATAATTAAAACGACTTATTATTATAATATTTTTCTGTATAATCGTTTAAAATACGCGGCTGTATGGTTGATATGGACTTTCTATGAGGGAATCCTGTGATTGTTCGTCTCTTGAATTTTTTTTTTTTTTTTTTTTTCGTCCAAACTCTCATAACTATGATAATTACATTAATAGTGAAGATTAATTAACAATACTATTTTCTACACTGACTTACACAATTTATTGAATCAAAGAAAATTTCTTTAACTTCATTTCGTTAAATACTTTCTTCTGAATGACACAAAAGTTGGTTGGAAGTAATATTACTTACAACTAATTTTTTTTTTTTTTTTTATGGNACATTACGTCGTAGCAGCTCAAGCCAAGGCCTCCTCTACCCATGGGTAGGTCCTCGGGTAGGTCAGAGCTAGTGTGCACACAACTCTGACGACTGAAAAGCTAATTCGGCTATATATACTAACCAAGTACTTTTTTCGCCACTCACGGGAACGGCACCGGAGCCACGCGGTTGGAGACGGAATTACAATAGCAGTGTTGTCTATCCATTGTCGATAACCAATTAATAATAGTATGGTAGGTGACCGGTAACCGCTAATATAACGCTGTAGTAAACCTTTATGTGGCAAAACGTACGACATATGTATAAACTTACCAACGAGGCCAAACGTCGATGGCCAATCAAATCGTGTTTCAAAATAGTGATGTATCACTTTTTCAGGTGTTTCGAGAATATTTTTCCGGTGATTGAAAGGCAAGAGGGAGTCTCAAATATGTAGTATACTAGTAAAAAATAGTGTTATATAAAATTCCTTCCTTAACTATTGAAATTTCAGCGGGTATACGACTAAAAAATAAAAATTTGGGAAGTAACGGACAATGTAAACGTACATCCAAAATTCTTATAATGATTTAAAAAAAAAAGAGAAAATAAAAATAAAAACACTGCAGTCGCTGTGAAAAAAAAAAATGTAAATTGTTATAAATTCCACAGTAATACACGTGTACGTATATTGATCGTGTCCCGTGCGTGCAGCGAAAACCGTACAGGCATTATTTGTTTTTCCAAACTGATCGACAAGAGAGAGAGAGAGAGAGACTAAATTAATTTTACTATAATAACAAATCAACATTACGGAATGCAATCGTCGAGCCGCGTCGTGGATGGCGAGGATGTGCGTGATCTCGAAGCGCTCGAGTTGCGCCGAGTCCTTGCTGTCTCGGTAATTGCCCACGTACAAGCCTGGTAGAACCTATTATAGAGAACGTATATTTTTTTTTTTCATTATTACAGTCCCTCGGTTGATGTATCTAATAACTATAAAAAAAAAAAAAATTTCGCGATCGATGACCATAATCAATTTAATCAAGCATAAATTTGTGCTGTATCATTTCCCCACTTACAAAAAAAAAAAAAAAATTTTACTACATGATAGCTGTCGCATAATAAAAAATAAAAGATTCATTCATCCGGCTAATGTAGAAAAACGCAACGCGTAAATGACCACGACTCAATAAACCATATACTTATAAAGGGACGTGTAAAATCGATCCAGCGACCACTGCAGCTTTCACGCTCTACTTATGTCATCCCTTTTACCGACCTGTAAGTAGGTTTGGTAACAACTTTACTAATAAAGCAGTCGACGTGTCGATTATTATTTCACACATAACATATTTTGCTGTAAGTAAAATGTTTCCAAATACTTTGATTCTTTTTTTTTTTTCCTAAATTGTTTGTATGTAATTTTATGAGGTACTGTGTGTATAATCAGTATGAAAAACAAATTTTTTTTTGCATAAAACATTTTTAGCGCCAAATTATATTTCGAAAAGTGCCCAAGTCTGGCACCAAATGTGTTCAATCGGTGATTGAATTTTTTATTGTTTGTAAAACGCCAGATTTGTAAAACTGTACAGTAACAGACTATAAAATCTTTGGTAAAATATTTTCTCACATGTATTTCATGTAAAAAGGATATTTTTACCCTTCAACATTGTACGAGTCAGCATAGTTGCTTAAAAATATAGCCAATTATATATCTGTTACGAAGGTTAATTAATAATGTAAGTTACTTTGACAAAATTTTTGTAAGCGCATATTAATTTGGATTTACTCCGTAATTTAACACAAATTAGAATGTGTAAAAAAACAAATGAAACAAGTTTAGACTTTGACTTTAAATCGAGTCAAGTTTGCAACGAATAAGCACGTAAAAATACAAAAAATAAAAACATAAAGTTTATAATAACTCATAAGCCTCGGAATAAACAAACAAACATCTGGCTGTTATCTTGTGTACTTATGGACGAAAAAAAAAAAAAAAAAAAAAAAAAAAAAGTCACTCGCGACTAAGTAGACGCGCTTTTTTTACTTTCATGAATTTTGGTGACGGCTGTGGTGGTAGCGACGGCGCAAGTACATAGATACCGGTCATATCGTGTTCCTTTGCGCGTGCAGCTTCTGCAAGCGTAACTGGATGGGCAAAAAAATCCAAAGTACATCGTATGTAGGGGTAAAATGTAGCAATGTTGTTGACGAATGGTGGTCAGTACCGTTTCAACGTGGCAGCAGGAGCTCAATAACGGGCGGGGCTGTAGACGCAAGGGCAGCTGGTGTCCCTGCAGATGTGCTGGTAGGACCTCGAGCGTCCGTAACCGTAGGGCCGTCCGTACATTGACGCCTGTGGATGAGCGATCTAATAACATTCGGGAGAAAAATGCAAATTTCACGTTTTAGTTTCGTGTAGAAAATATACAGAAAAAAATAGGGGCAACCCGAGAAAAAATAATATCACTTGTTTCGTTATATTATTTATATGATATAAATATGGGTAACAAATAACAATTAATAATAACAGGTTTCAGGCTATTATATAATAGTATTGTATTTATCATTCGTTTGCCATTTTATCCTGAGAGTAAATAATAGTTTTTATCATTTTTTTTGTTCTTTGTAAAATCTAAATTGAAAGATATACGATTTAATCTTATTTTTATCAACAACTAGTATAAATAATTCATGGTAATTTTTATCCGTTACTTCAAAAAATATGTTTTATGTTGTTACAAATAATAAGTATTATAAGCTATTAGTTATAATTGATGACAGTTGATATCGGTTTTTATTTTTATTTTTTCACTTTTTGAGGTGTCAAATTCGAAGAAAATAAAAAAAATAAATAATAACAGTTATTATAAATTTTATCGTACATCTCAAATATTGATATATTTTTATTACTATTTACAGTTATACTTTGACTTATCGTTGGTTATTCGCCAAAATGATTTTAATTTGGAAGATCACACCGGAAGCTATGGTAAAAAAAAAAAAAAAAAAAAAAAAAAAAAAAAAAAAAAAAAAA